GATAAATGGCCCCCTGGAAGGCCAAATGCTTCAAGTTCAACCATCCATTCACTTATGGTAAGATACAATTTAACTGATATTTGGAGAACCAACAATGTTGTTCGGCGTTTGTTTTCACACTGACCTTTCATAGTTCCCCCAAGAAACCCCGAGCCGAGCTGCTGGGAAAGCCCTCCCGCTCCAGCATACATCACTGCATGGGATTCCTTCCCCGGGGAGTGCAATGAGGGAAAAAAGGTCAGCAGCTCTTCACTCGACGTTTATCCACAAACTGGTCCTGGATTAAGCTCCAAAGTTTTTATCAGTCAGATTCCACTGTGAAAAATGTCTGTCTTATCCCCTTTTATGAGTTTTTTGCCATTGACTATCTTTAAATCACTGCTTCCTGGTACAACAGTCGGCTCTGGAAGCGATCGCTTTTTTCTTCTTTTTTTTTTCCTTTCTTTTTTTTTTGAACCGAGTGGTTGAAGCAAATGCAGCATAAGAGCCCCCTGGTGGCTGAAGAAAAAAATCCATGTATAAGCCGCACCGGACTGTAAGCCGCATGGTTCAAAGTTCAGGGAAAAAGTCCCGGCTTATAGTCCRAAAAATACGGTACTCCAGTGCAAAATGAATGGACACACAAAAGTGACTGTCAGTAAGTGAATGTTGATTTGATCCATAAATAGATGCGATCGTTTATTTTACAAATCAGACAAAATCACCACAGCACACTTAATTGTGAGTAATCAGTTTCCTATATAAAGTTTTGGGACCAACAATAACAAAAGCTTCAAGCTTCTTAATTGTCAACCAGGCACTTTAAATAGAACACAAACATCAGCTTAAATGTTTAATACCAGACATTTGAGGCAATTAACTTAAGTTGGCAAGATATATTTTAAGAAAAAGGAGGAAAGTAAGATGTTAGCTTTTCCTAGCTTTAACTTAAATAAATGTGGGTTTAACCAGAGAAAGGCAGGGCGTTTCTATTCAGCGTCAGTCAGACAGCGAAGTTCATAACACATGCTAGTTTTAGCTTCAAAGATGATGTCTGTCACCTTGTCCAGGTATTTCGGGGTTCTGTTTAGAAAATCCTTTATAGGACCGTCAACCCAGGGACCCTCTTAAGGCGTGTTTTCCAGACCCGCTTGCGTCCACGTCAAGCCATAGAAAAAAGGTGAAGTCAAACCTGGATCCCGACTTCAAAATAAAACTTCCGACAGGAAGGTTTTCTAAGTTGGATCAACCAGGCATTAGTCTGATCCAGGCTGTGAGCTTTTCCGTGGGCGAGAAGGGCAAAACCTGACACAGTTTCTGCTCTTGACTCTCTCGAGAATCGAGCTGTCAGTGTGACTGACAGCGGTACGTCACTTTCTGCCGTCCGGGCTGGGCGTAAACTGTTAGTTTCTAAAGAGTTAGAGAGTATAGTTCCGCCCTCGGAGGTTGAGATTAGAAAAAGGAGTTTTCAAGGAAAGGGTTAGTCAGAGACTTGCCGTCGCCTTCTGAAACTAAACAAAGATTATTGCTTTTGTTCAGAACAAAACATTTCATGACCTATATTATCATCTGATGAGAACTTCTTCAAAACATCAAAGCCAGGAGGGTTCAACCCCAACACTTAAAGGGATCCCTGATTAGTTGTAACATTAGACTTTATTTGATAAAYATATATTTTAACTGTAAAATAAAGACTAAAAATACTGTAGTCTGTTTAGTTTTGTAAATTTTAAAATATATATTTTAACACGGACGGAGCCATTTTATTTACACACACAGCATTCTGGGTAAATGATGACGTGGATAGGTCCTCGGTGTGAGCGAGCTATATCCGCCCTGAAGGTTAATCTTGGACAATATCTGATGATCGACTCTTTTAAATGAAACCAGAGAGCGTTGACAGAGAGGAGAAGGTAGAAATGACTCAGCCTGTAACTGAAAATATGGATGGAGGACAACAGAGCTGCTTCATGGAAGAAGAACCTCAGCTTAGCCTGTTAGCTTTAGCGCCGACGATATATTGCCTTATACAGTATGTATTAGCTCAGCGCTAGCGCGACAAACAAGCTAAACTGAGGTCCTCCATCCTTATTTTCAGTTACTTTCTGAGTCATTTTTGCATTCCCCTCTCTGTCATGTGGATGGAGGACCTCAGTGACGAGAGGAGAATGTGTAGCGCTGAGCTAATATATATACTGTTTATTGTGATAGCATCGGGGATAAYGCTAAAGCTAACAGGCTAAGCTGAGGTTCTTCTTCCATGAAGCAGCTCTGTTGTCCTCCATCCATATTTTCAGTTCCAGGCTGAGTCATTTCTACCTTCTCCTCTCTGTCAACGCCCTTTGGTTTCTTTTAAAAGAGTCGATCATCAGATATTGTCCAAGATTAACCTTCAGGGTGGATATAGCTCGCTAGCAGCCTCGCACTGAGGACTATCCACGTCATCATTTACCCAGAATGCTTTGCATGTAAATATAATGGCCCCATCCGTGCAATACATTTTTAAACTTTTAGTTCAAAAATGATAAAAACTAAACAGCCTACAGTATTTTTACAGTCTTTATTTTGCAGTTAAAATAAATGTTTATTAAATAAAGTCTAATGTTACAACTAATCAGGGATCCCTTTAAACTTCAAAAGCAGGTCACCCTGGTCTTGTCCAGATAGAACCATGTGCACGATGTACTGCTGAAGTGTAGATCTCTCCTACATGCTTAGTAAAGGACTGAACCTCATTTAAAACACAAATAACCATTAAAAAGTTTTAGGGTGTACTCACACCTGACACATTTGATCCACTTTAAACGAACTAGAGTTTATTTCCCCCGGTGGTCCGGACCTTTAATGCAGGTGTGAATACACTAATGTGAACCCAGGTGTGGACCAAACAACCTGCCCAAGACCCATTTTCTCGGTCCACTTCCAAATGAACTTTGGTGTGGTTCACTTCTGATTGTTCTGAGGCCTCAACAATCATCTGGATCAAAGACCAGACCGCTACAGAAGATGTTTCCTGCCCACAGCCATCAGCATCTACAATAATTCTTTAATTAAATGAGTTACAACAACACCTAATTTCCCTCTGGGATCAATAAAGTATTTTTGACTTGAAGTGACTACAGACCTGTTTTGATGTTTGTTCATTTTGTGTGTGTTGTGGCTCAGGAGGTGAACATGGCATGCAGGATGTTGGTGCGTGTTGAACCTCTACTCGGGATTTACTCGGATCTGGTGCGGCACTACCTGGCTGTGTCACTTGGAGTACACAGGAGCACAGGCAAACTGCTGTCTGTCCTGGCCAGCATCTTCACTGAGCTTGCTCAGAAGGTATGGATGATGCACAACGTGTTGATTGAGCAGAAAACAGGATGATTCAGTAATACACCCACATGAGAACAGAAAACCAAGTAGCTGTTTTAATCCTCCTCAGGGATTCTGTCCGCCTCAGGAGCTGCTGGCTGCTGGAGATGGAGCTACTGAGTTTCATGACTTTGAAAATGGTGGCATTGGAGAAGGTGATGGCACCAAAGATGTCAGCGACAAAATTGAGAATGAAGATCAAGTAAGTAAGGTCCTGGGTTTTTCAAATTCCTCCGTAATTCAGCCCTACCATGGAGGTGATGTCAGTGTACTCGATGATGATGTCATACTGCAGTTGTCAGGAAAGAAACTCAAGTCTTTCACTGATCTTTAGTCTGTCCTTCTGTTTCAACGAGCTGTTTGCTGTGGATAAACTATAGGCAATGTTGCTCTGCAAGGCCCGGCCCGGGTTGGCCCAGCTTCAAACCCGGGCTCAATGTGTTTGCATTAACCCCGAGACCTGTGGTTCTATGTGCACCAGGATACTGCTGCACATTGRTTCACTGACGGGGGATTACGTCAAACAGATAAAAGTGACTTCAGATGAATAGTTTGCAGCAACTGTAACATTTTTTTCAACTGCGCAGTATCGAGCTACCGAACAGCAAGCAGCTAACGTTAGCCAACAATAGCTTACTGCCCTCCTTCCTCATGTCTTAAGCTGTTCACTGCTGGATGGTCTTCAGTACGTTTCTTTCAAGTTTGGTGTAATCCATTATGTTTTGTCACAAATAAAAAGAAAAAAGATTCATGTGTTTAAACAAAAGCAGCTCTGTCCTGGAGGAAATTTGCTGTCAATCAATCCAAGAGTTAATCCACGTGCAGAATTGTGCTGACGTCAAAATCATAAGCGTGTTGTACTTGCTTTTACCTGAACCACTGGAGAGGATGTTCTGAAATGTTGGTTATGTATTGTAACCCCAGTTTCTATGAGTGTAAGCGCAGCCCTCTAATAGAACAGTGTGGCTGTGGAGCGCGCTTGGAGACTCATTGGGCCGAGACCGAGCCGAGTCGAACAGCGTACCAGAGCATCTGTGAAGATTGTGTGCCGAGGCTGTCACTGTTAACAGTGAACACCAGAGGGCGCAAATTAACAGCTTTCTGTGAGGCACCGAAGTTACCGTTGATGTTTACCCCGGTGCCATACCGGAACCGAGTTTCAGTACCCAACCCTAGTCGCGCGGTTTTTCTGCGTTCATTTTCACACACACCTTTCATAGTCCTTGAGACACCCCGCGCCGAGCTCCTGGGGAAACCCCTCCTACTGCAGCATACATCACTACACTGCAAAAAATGCCGACCTAACCAAGTTTTAAAATCTTATATCCAGCCAAAAAGTCTTTTTGATCTTGTTTTGAGACTGATTTACTAAACA